ACCTGTGGAAGAAGGTACAAATGCCACCATCTGCATGCTGTTTGCCCGGTTAGGATTTCTTCCCTGGACACTACGGGAAGTTCAGTGAGCTCATGAATGTCAGGTTTACTAGCCCTCCCCTGTCTGTCAGGCAGAGCACTTTCCTAGCCTTGGTGGGAACTGGAGCTTCCACAACCTCTTCCTCCTTGGGGGAGCTCCATCCCAGGGCACAGCTGGCAGAGGTGGCCCCAGTCTGATCCTGGCAGTGACTCTTCCCTTCAGCAGCTCTGGGGCACATGTTAAGTCTTGGGCCTGGTCCAGGAGCCCTGGTTGGCACTAATTGGTGCCCTTCATACCTAGAAGTTGTTTCCTCATTTCCCACAAGTTATGGCATCAACTGTGGGGCCTCTGCTTCTGCTTTAAATGCATCATTTTGTGTCATACCCATTAAAAACAAATAATGAATTTGGGAGGGGTCACAGTATGAACATCTTGACATAGCTATGTTTGGAATGATAGATGGGCTATAAGGGATTTCTGACCCAATTTTTTTTGTAATTTAATACATAATTATCCTTGAGGACAGTCAGGCGTCTTCATTACTTTGTTCCTCCTTGCCTGAACAGTTTTTATCTTAGTTTATGGCCATCTGTAAGTTTGTGTTCACAAGAGTGTTGCAGAGGCAGAGCTGTCACTGTGAGCAGCTGCTGCTGCAGTCAGTGCTGTGAGAGCCAAAGCTCACACTCTGCTGCGCTATCACCGTGTGAAATGCTGCTCTGTGCTCCTCATTTCTGTCCTGGTGATTTCACATTATTAAAGGGACTCAATTACATGTGTCACTGATTGCACACAGTAATGGACATATTGCTCTGCTGGTTACGTGACTCATGTGCCACTATAGTGCAATTTGGTCAGGTTTAATGCTGTGAAAGTGATTTTTGGACTTGGTTTAAAGCCATAAATTCTTCCCCTTCCCTTCTCCATTCAATTTGTATTTTCCTTCTTCTGTCAAGAGAAAATACCAGTCTTCTTATTGAGATCCCATTTGGAAATAACTCTTGTGCCTTCCCTTTTCCAATTTACCCTCTATGTTTAAGATCTAGAATCAGAAAATCTGCAACATATCCTTTGATGTGATTTAGAATCTGGCTTCCCATATGGGGACTCACACTCACGCTGTGACAAAGTACCCTGGTGTGCAGCTCAGGCTAAAGGACCTTGTGTTCCAGTTTGATGGCTGCCATTCACTTGTGGTGGTTTTTGGTTTGTTTGTTGTTTAGAAAAGTCTTTCATTGTTTATTATCCCAGTTTTCAGCTTTTAAAATGTGCCAATCATTCTTGTGAGGACTGTTACCAAAACCTGGTTAACAAAGCATCCAGAACCAGGGTCAAAGGCTGCCCTTTATACTTACCTGGCTTATCATTCCAGATATTAATGGACTGAAGCTGGAATCAGCTAATTATCTTTGTTGGGTGCATTTGTAGAACTTCTGACAGTAGCTGAACCTGAAGCTGACAGACAGCAAGTACTATTTTTACCTCATGAAATCTTACTGTGATTATCTGCTTCAAACTTAAGAAATATCCAGACAACTTTCTGATGGTTGAAGAAAAGAAGACTGAGGCTCTCCCAGGATAGCTGTCTGGGACAAAGACATTTCCTAATACTGGCAGTTTGATCTCTGTGCTCTGAGCCACTGATTTGGATGTGCTCTGATAACTGATACATGTAGTGCTCCTGGAATAAACCTTCTGGAAAACAAGATCTAAGGCTTCTTTCACCTCTAGGTCAGGCTTTGGTGTGGGTAATATCTGGTTACTCAAGTACAGTTATTCTGCATATTTTTATGCCAGATTTCTCTAATGCAGACAATAACAATGACTTCTCAGGTTTTTCACATAAACCTCCTCCTCCTCCTAGGATTTGAAGACGGGTTCATTAGAGTTTTTAGATCTACTGTCAAGGGATGATTTTTATTTGATGTATTTGAATGTGAAATGTGTTTTGGTGATGGGCTATGAAAGATATGACCAAAAGTAAAACCTTGTCTTTGCATAATTGCAAATGAAATAAAAAGAAAAAATGATTATTTAAGAAACATTAAAGGAAAAGTAAGGAGTAGAAAGACCAGGACCTCAGGACCATCAATAAGTAAAACATCAAGTATAACTTTCAAAGACATCAATGTGAATTAAATTTATTGTGTTCCAAAGTCCCTTTTCTAATAATAATTCATGTTACCCTGCTGCTGTGGGAAATCATTGCTAAAACATTCATTTCTTTTATTCACAGACCCCACAGCCAGTTGAAAACTACATCAGTGAAGGGGAGTTTGAGGACGACCTGAGTACTTCTACCCCGAGCACAACGGAGCTGGAGGTACGTGGATCCAGCCAAGAAACAGATGAAGATTATTTTGAGACCGTGTCACATCAGAGTGGATCTTTGTCAGATGTAAAAACTGAACCTTATGAGAGTGCATCAGATACAGAATCCCTTTCTAGTGACGTAGCTGGGAACACGTGCTTGGATTCAAACTGCCTGTTTACTGAAAAAAAAACCCCGTGCTGTAATTTTCCCAAAGAAAGGGCAGAAACAACCTTCCATGAACTGACGTGCTCCAGGCAACCAGAATTCACCCAGCACATACAGTTCGGATTGTCCTACAAAATAAAAGCAGCACCAAGAAAAGCTGAATTTTCCCTACAGTCTGCAAGGGCAGAAGGTGAAGAACTGGATGATGAAGAACAAACATTCTCTAGTGATACTTCTATCACTGAGAACCAATTCTGTGAAGAGGGCATTGTATCACAGGCAAAGAGAAGGTCTGTGGCAGCACTGCAAAATAAAGCAGAGTTAGAAAGCTTAAAAGTGCAGTCCTGCACCAACTCAGCACCTACAGAAGATGATGTTACAAGACAGAGGGAATGTCCTGCAGTATTAAGCATTGGTTGTTTCAAAGAAAACTCAGAAAGTTGTTTGATTTTCCCTGAGGTACAGCAATTTTCCTTCCAGTCAGATGCAGTGCCAAGCTGTAGTTTGCCTAATCTTCACTTTGAAACAAATGGACCTAACTGTAAAAGTTACATTGAGACATCTGACTTTAAGTGTGAATTAGATTCTATGTCCAGTATAAAATGCAGCAGGAGGAATTCAGCTGACAGTGAGGAAACTACAGGTAAAAGGATAAAACATGGACGTACAGAGACCATGTTGACATCAGATTCACCCTTTTACCAGAGTTGCTTCAAAGCAAAATCTTGGCCAGTACACACAAGGTCAGAAAGTAAAACATGGCACAGTGTACCTGAAAACATCAGTGCTCAAAGCCTGACAGAATATGTGGGGAGCTGCAGTCACCTGACAAACAAATTCAGACGGTCATGTCACAGAATACCTCTTCAAGGGCTGGATTTTGAATACAATTGGAAAGCCTTAGGAAGGATACCTGTAAGCTCTGAGTCAGTAATAAAAATAGAGGGCCACTGTGGCATAAAAAGATCTCCTGTTGATGCTGACACAGACTCAAATGAGTGTCGGGTTTCTCAACCAGCAGCCTCTCCCCAGTGCACTGATTATCATTTGCACTCTGAATCAGAGACATGTGGCCTGAGCCCAGAGCCAGCTGATACCTGTACTGACAGCTTAATAGAGGGTGATGCTGGCAAGGGCAGCCCCAAACAAAAGAAGACTTCCCCTGCCCTGGATTGTGAGCCAGTGACCATAAACGCTGAGGAACTCATGAAAGGTGATGAGTACAAAGCTGAAGGAGCTCTGGAAGCAGGCAGATTCCCCTGTGGTACTGATGTCGAATTGGACACTGATGGTACCGAGAACCTTGCAGCTTCTCATGTAGGTTTTCCTGCTGTTGTGGAAAACAGAGATTGGGATTGTTCTGTAAACTGTGTTTCCAGTAGTGGAATAGAGCAAAAACCTTTGAAGGAGAATGGCCTTGAATCAGAACTGTCAGGTATGGAGATTGTGGCAGGAGAAAGATGGGCAGATCATTCTTCTAACCTTGACTTTGGTTGGAAATTCCTGAAAACCACAGTACACCCAGGTGGCAGTGACACTGGGACAGAGCATGAAGAGCCAGTGAAGCAAAATACAAGTTGCAAAACTGGTGCCTTAAGGAATGACTCTGAGCTAGTAACAAATGAACATCCTACTCTTAAAGGAAAGGATGAAGACAGTGACAGTGTCTTTGCTGTTGAAAGGACTCCAACATCAGATTATATAAACCAGAGGAGGGATCTAGTGATGGTTCCAGAGCTAAAGCCTGAACTATTTAGAGTCTCTGTAGAGCAGAAAGGATTACAGTCCCAGACACTGAATGATGACCTTCCTACTAAAGTGGTAACCAAAAGATTGAGAAAGGTAGTGAGCAGGGATTTGAGGTCTCTTCATACTGCGAACAAAGCTCATGATGAGCCAGAGAGAGTTCTTGGTGAAAACTGTGTCTGTAAAGAACAAATTCTGGCCACCCAGCCCATTCCTGGCAGTGCAGAGGTCCCCCCTGACAGGGATACAGCTGAAATAAAACCAGAAGTTTCAGAAGAGAAAAGAGAGAAAACCGATGCAGTTTCATCCTTAGGGTTCACCTGTAGTAATCCCACAGCAACAAGAGAGGAAGTGGAATTCAGGAGTGTTACTGTCCCACTTAGCAATGACACACTGAATGCAGAAAGTCAGACAGATCCCTGCAAAGAAGTGCTCATCAAATCACACAGTCCAAGTAGTGTGAAGGTCTCTGAGGAAGAGCCCTGCACAAGACAGACTGGTTTTGAACTAAAGACAGAACAGTTCAGGAAATCAGGCTTCAGAAAGCCTGGAACAAGAGATGACCACATATCTGAAGAAGAGGAATTCAGAGCACATCAGGGCAGAGAGGAAGAGGAAGGCTTATACATAACTAATGTAGTAACTCAAGAAACAAGCAGCAGTGTAAACAGTTTGTGTCAGGGAGATGGTGTTGATGTTGGCCCTCAAGGGCCCAGCACTGTCAAACCACACTGTAGAAGTGGTGTGATGGTCTCTGAGGAAGAGCCCTGCAGAGCACAGACTGCTTTTGAATTAGAGCAGTTCAGAAAGTCAGGCTTCAGAAAGCCTGAAACAAGAGATGACCAAGTGTCTAAGGAACAGGAACTCAAAGCACATCAAGGCGGAGAGGAAGGCTTATACATAACTAGTGCAGTTACACTGGAAACGAGCAGCAGTGTAAGCAGTTTGTGCCAGGGAGATGGTGCTGATGTTGACCTTCAAGGGCCCAGCATTGTCTCTGACCAAGCAGTAGGCAGGCAAGGAAATGAAGGCTGTAATGGCTCAAAGGAAGAAATAGGTATTTGTGAAGGACCTTCTCCTAGGGAAGGAAGGGAGGGCTCTGCTGCAGAAGGCACTGCTAACCACAGCAAAGACAGTGCACTCAGTCTAGATGTGTCTGATGTCTTTGATGAGTCTGTGAACAGGGAGATCCATAACACTTGCATGCTGGGCCTGGATAATATAAGTACCTGCAGCACTAACAGCGAGGAAATGGATGACAACTTATCCCACATCCTGGGAAGTAACAGCAGTCTCTATAAAACGGTGCAGAAGCCAACGAAGAATGAGAACAGTGGGAAAGCTTCCAGATTTTTAGTATTCTCAAAAATGACATCTTTCAGGAAAACTAAGCCTGCCACAGCAGAAAATCAGGGAAGTAGCAGTTTCTTTGGCATCAAGGCAAAGATAGAAGAGCTGGAAGCTGGGAAAGATGATGAAGACAATGCAAGTTTACTGTCTTTCAAAAGCTGTCCATCTGGTTTAGTCTTCCACAGGAAGGAAAGTTACACCTCTGAGTACTCTGATGATGATGATTTATTCTATGAGAGACCTTCAGGATTATTCAACAGATTGAGCCTGAGGAAGGCCTCTGGCTCTGGTCGGATACTGATGGAAGACGCAGATACGAATTCAGCTTCTCCCTGTGTGGGACCTGGCAAATATGCAGATCGACAAGTTTCAGGTTCATCTGAAAACAATGACGGTGAACCTGTGGAGCACTCCGGGATTAGAAAATCATTCCCTGAAAACGAATGCAAAAGGAACAAAACCCCTGAGGGCAAGAAGTTCAAGACAAGGTTGGCCTTGGCACACAAATCCCTCTCAAGCTTATTTGAGTCCAGATCTACAGAAAAGGAAAACACTGAGCAGAGTTCGAGAGTAGCACTGAAAAATGAAAAGGAGAAAGCCAAACTTCGCCAGAGCACCTGGAAAGCTTTTCTAAAAAGCAAGGAGGCAGATGGACTGAAAAGGCCTGTCTTAGCAAGTTTATCACCGACACAGGAGGGTCTGAGTGCAACGGGTGGCCGTGTGGTGAGAACATCCGGAGAGCGACAGGGTAGTTCCAATGGACACACTTTTTTTAAAAGAGAAGCAGATAATGGCTCCAACTATTTTGACAGCTCTGTGGAACCTCTTGATGTCTCTTCACCTGCAGGTATGTGGAGAAGACGAATACAGTCCCATGACTTGGGCATTAAATACTCACAGAGTTCTGACTGCGATGAACAGCAGGAGGTTCTCAGCAACAGTTTAAATACTTCCCTAGAGGAATACTGGATGAAATCTCCATTTAGCCCCGCTGACTTGCAGTTGGCATTTAGTCAGTCAAGTCCATCGTGTCCCCACCTCTCAAATTCCGATGGTAAAGACATGCCTTGTAGGCCCATGAGTCCCAAACCACAGAGTCCACGATCCACTTCTCACCACAAGACCTTCCGTTATCCTGGAAGGGTGTGTGCCACTTCCATGATTTCTCTTGGGAACAGCTCTGGAGTTGAAAGCTGTTTGGAGGCTCCTGAGAGACCAAAGACATTGAAACCCAGGGGTAGTCTCTTATTTTCTGTGCACTCACTGGACACCGAATACCAGAGGGATGACAGTGGCATAAGCAGCCAATCCCAGATCAGCTTAAATACAGCCTCTTCCATTAGTGACATGCTCCAAGATGAGGTGAGTTATTGCCTGGGAATGACCAGAGGGTGGTGTGGTTTGTAGTCTTTTGTTTTAATATGGGTTAGGAATTCCTGTGAAACTCCTTGATGGCTCAATGAACACACTGGTATGATGGGTGCATTAATATTCCCCTTGGTCTGAGATAGGTAGCACTACTCATTCTTTCTGTTCCTGTTCAAAATGATGTGAATTGATTCACTCTTTAAGGGAGGATTTGCCACAAAAATCTAAAATGGAGTAATCACAACAGCTCTAATGCATAACATGTCTCAGACAGGTTATACAGACACCACCCTGCGTTCAACTCCATTTTATTTGCTGGGTAAAAAGGGGGTAACCTCTTAAGGCAGAATTGAGCCTTGTAACTAGTATATAGTAAATAAGTTTCTCAACATGAAAGGTACCATAGAAATTAATTCCAATGCTAGCAGTCACTTTTTAAGAAATAAAATAATTTTCTTTAGATGATGAATAGCTGTCTTTCAAAGTACCATGAGTCTTTTGCAGTCACCCTAACTACCCTTTGGATGCTGCTGGAAGTCCTTTTCTATCTTTGCTACAGCAAACAGGAAAAAAACCCCACGGAGTCAAGGTGTCCTTTTCATATTATATTGTGTTCTAATGCAGGTAACACATGAAATCCTTGGCATAGGCTGGATCTCCCAGAACAGGTTGTATCTTCAGGAGGGATCTCTTGATTGGCTGGAGCCTTCTAAAGCAGAGACTTCCTCTGTCAGTAGCTTTTTAATCTCAGAGAGGATTTCCCAAGTTGTGAAGTGGCTGGGAGCTTAGGAATCTCTTTCAATGGCTAAGCACAACCCCCAGAGTGACTGAGACTGAGCTGTCATTGAGATCCCAGGACATGTCTTGATCATGCTGCTTTTGCCACTTTTTCAGTTTTGTTGCTGATGAGTTTTGTCATTAAGAAAACAGGAGAATAATTTTGTTGAGCAGATTGTCAGAAGTGGTGCTTGAGAGAGGGTATGAGTTTCTGCATACCCTGAACGGACAATTTCCAGAGTTCATCAATCTAGAACTGCCTGATCTGTTCCTACAGCTGAGGGCTGCTTGTGCTCCACTCAAATGAGCCCTCACACAGCCTTTGCTGCTGTTTCCTTTTGTCTCTCACATCCCAGTGGATATTAAAGTTTTGATACTCTCCAAAATGATCTTCGTCTACCCTTTCTCCCTATTTTTTTCATAGAAGCTCCCTGTTTTTTGTGTAGACACAAACAAACAAATGGTTGGTAGGAGCATGCATGACTCATGGCACCACCACATAGACAAAACCATGGCTTTGTCCAACCAAGCCTTGAAAACCTCCACTGCTGAAGATTTCAATACCTTTCTGGGAAACATGTTCCTGGAGAATTTTTTCTTTGCTAATGCCCAACCAGAACTTTCCAAGATACAGTTTCTGGCCATTGTTTTGTGTCACTGTCTAGCACTACTGAGAGGAGTTTGATCCCTCATTCATGTAAATAGAAAGTTTTTGGTGACTGCCCTTATATTGCCTCCAGTGCCCTCTTAAGAGTTTACATAAACCCAGTTGCCTCAACCTCTCTGCACATATTCCCAGTGAAAGTGTTCTGGTTGATTGGCTTGGGGTTTTCAGCTGATCCAAAGAAGTGTGTGGGTGGCAGTTGGAGATGTGAGGGCCCGTAGTACCAGGACTGCTGGTGGAAAATGGGGAAGAGAATTTACTTTATTCCCCGGTGTGCTCAGCTTTACTTGAAAATCTTTTATTTTCATGGGCATCAACTTTACCTACAAACCTAAGAGAGGACACCACATTCTAGACAAGACACTGCAGTGTTACACTAGCCCAGGAAAAAGCAAGACTTGGACTATACATGCTGTCAACAGATGAAGCCTCTCAGAGGGTGAATAAAATCACTGACCTGTAAATTATAGCTCAAAAGAACATCTAGAAAGAAGTGGAAAGGTGCAACATGTGTAAAGCCTTGAATAGGCAAGCCCACATCCTATGTAACCATTAGAAGGAAATAAATAATTGCTTAAATTGATTGCTAGATTAAATTATTCAAAGAAAACCATAAAAAATTTAAATGATTTCTAAGCCATATAAAACCGGCTTAATTTTCCTGATTCTTCTGGAGGCTGCAAAATATGATATCTGAAATTGGGCAAATGTAACTGGAGCCTAGAAATTCATGTAAATGCCTCAGCTTTCAAAACACAACATCTGATCTAGTAAAGCAGATAGGTCTTTATTTCCATTTTCATGAAATCAAGTAGAACTGCAGCCTGGATCTTGTAAGTGAAGTTGGGGGTTTTTTTCAGAAATCTTTGAAAATACAACAGGGACAATGGGGCAAAGTGTATTTACAGTGTTAGGTCTTCCCAGCACAGTTATCATCTATGCAGTAAACATGGTCTTCCCCATGTATGTTGCTTAGTAAAGAGATCTTAAAATTAAGTTTATCAGTGGATTTGAAGAAAATTCCTTTTCTGTTCCACAGAGAAAAGACATTATGGCAAGCCAAAAGCAAAATTGTGAAGTTCTTGAGTTCACTTCCCAGTGTACCCTCCAGTGTACATATTCCCCAATATGTACATACTGGGGATTTGTACATATTCCCCAAGCCCCCAGCCAGGTATTTTTTGCAGTGGTGGGGCTTTATCTGTGTTACAGTGCTGTGCCAAACTGCACTGGATCAGCTTGCCCTGGCCACCTCTGGCTGCCACTTTGGTAAGTAACTCCTCTTAGCCTGGTGGGGCACAGAGCAGCCCCTCTCTGAGTGCCCACTAGTGGACAACAATCTCAACATTCTCCAGGTTACCTACAGGACAAAGATTTTATGCAGAAAACAGCAAGACAGAACCATTACCAGTTTGCCCATCTGTCAGGGCCTTCATTACATGTTTAATTAATCTGTTTGTGACATGATTTTACTTATATAACTGTGTTATTCACCAGGCAAGAGCAAACTGTCCTAAAATGTCTCATGTTTGGAATTTGAACGTTCTCCTTGGTCCTCTCCAGTGTGATGGCATTAGGCACAGAACACCAGCAGGAAACACTTTCCTTTTTCACAGCATCTACTGTTTCTAGATGTGGCATCTCTTACCAGGGGCAAGAAGAACTGATCTGGAATTGTTGTTTAGTTGAGAATAGATAGGAAGTGCCTGGAGTTTGGTTTTATTTGGGTTCTTCAGATGAACTGTGGGAAACTGTCAGGATAGAGCTTTTTTTTTTGTCATGAAAAGAGACTCCTGAGATCATTCATTCCCCATTGTTGGTATCTCCCACCTTAATTATTATTGATTCTAACACTGATGCTACCTGGAATAGTGGATGGTTGCCTCAGGGCACACTTGATTTCCAGTTGTTCTAGTTTAAAAGCTGTAATTTTGTGCAACCACTCCAATGAGAGTGAAAGGCAAAGTGTTCAATTCCTTACTCTCAGCCCAGCATTAAGCAAGTAAAATGGATAGTGTAAAGAGCACATCAGGAAACACAGGGCTTGATATATCAGACCTGCAGGCATCTAGGAAGCCTTTTCACATTGTATAACTGAAGTGCAGTCAGAAAAGCAGAGACAGAGAGGAGGTCATTTTCCTGTTTTCAGAGATATTGTCTGTCTTTGTAAATAATATTATACAGACAGAGTGACCTAAATCCTAGGAGTAGTGTTATTGTAATATGCCATCTAGAATGAGGTGAAAAGGGCCCTGCCCTGTGCAGAGGGAGTATATATTGCACTCCCAAAGGATCACAGAGCTGCTGCTCCAGGGTGGAGTCCTCCTAAGCCTTTTCTTCTGAGTAGTTCTGGAACTGGATAACTGAGTCTTGCCATCTTCTGTTCAAACTGACTTGAAGCAAACAACATTTCCATCCAACAAACCCTGTGTTTTCACCTGCTGTTTGTGAAACAGGAGTGTAGACAGCAATGTCAAACGGCGCCTGAAAAGAGGCCAAATAAGAAATGGGTTCCCCATCGCAAAAGGAGGCCCCCCCGGGTCCCACCATCCCCCCGCCCTGACTCCACCCTGGAGAGCAAAGCCTGGAGGCTTTCCTTCCTTGCTCCAGATGAAAAAGCCAAGGAGATTCCAGAGAGGAGGAGGAAGAGACCGAAACCCCTCTATAAGTGTTTCAGCTTCGATGATGTTTGGATGGAGAAGAACCAAAAAAGGAAGCTAGAGAAGGAGACACGGCCAGAGAGAGGGGCTCAAGTGCAGCGTCTCCCGGGGGACCCATTAAAAGTAAGGAGCCGTACACCGTCCTCCTTGTCCTCTGGCACTGTCTTCCTCTCTGCTCCAGCTGCTTCTCTCTGCTGTCACCACGTTCCTGTCCTTGAACTTTGTCTGGTGCCACTTCTGTCAGCTTCTCTGTGGGCCTGGCACTCTGCGGGGACTGATGGAACACAAATCTGGTCCACAAGTGATGGTATCTAAAGGTGGTGGGTTTTTTAGTCACTGTAAGCAAACAGTTCTTACCCTGTGCTACGCTGGAAATTGGATGCAAGAGCATCAGATTGCTCTGTGAGCTGAAACATAGGGAGGGCAGGGAGCAAATCAGAGTTTCCTTAAATCAATATAAATTAAACAGATGAAATCTCATTCTGTGCCCTGTGGCATTGCTGTACAACTTTAATAAGGGACTTCTAAATAAGATTTCCCTTGTATATGAGGCCAACTCCACAATTCTTACTGAGGCAAATTCCTGCTGTGAAGTGCTTGAGAGAACACTGCCACTGGAGTTTTAGCTATTAATATTCTCCTCTCCACTGGGGGAGACTTTTAGATCAGCATTATGATTGCTTGTGACAAACTTTGTGGCTGTTGTGACTCACACTGATGGCATCTGTTACTCTTGGATCCAGAGCTAAGGTCTGTTCCCTTCAGGGAGAGCCATGAATCTGCATCCAAGAGCCAAAAGTAACCTTCATATATAATAAAGAACTTCTGGGGAGAAAGGACACGAGGTTAAGGGATGCTTCATGCAGTATCTCATAATAGGATGGAAAAAAATTCTGATAAAGCTTGAAATCAAGAAGCAGATACTCAAATAAAAGCTTTCCTCAGGGTTTTCTGGTTTTGTCTGTTGTCTGTATTTGTTTCCCTTTCTCTCTGTTGTCCTGGTTGCCTGTTTCCACTTGCTCTTGCATTGAAATGATGATGTTTGAGGGGAGCTGAGGCTCCAGTAGCCCTGTCACCACTTCAGAATGTGTTTGACCTTATGTGCACAAATAGTTCTGTGAATGGTGAGGGCGAAACATTCCCCTGACAGAGCTCAGCCTGTCCACTGTGGCTTTCCCAGGGAAAACCTGCTGCCTCATGCCAGCCTGGGGGAGCCTCCCATTGAAGCAGATGGACATTTGGGACAGGAAGCCAGGCCAGTTCCAGAAACAGGGTTTCTGAAAAACTGCCCACTGTTCTTCCCTCTCCAAGAACAGGGACTAAAACTCTGTCCTATTTTGTGTGTGTGTGGGGGGGCTTTTCAAAACCAAGTGTTGCCAGTTGCTGCTTGAATGGGTGCTGGGTATGACTCTGTGATGTTCAGTGAGGATGCTTCCCTGGCTCAGCTCCATAGTACCTATGTGTTGGAGACAATGAGTAAGGCTACTGAGGTGTGTGGATGTTAAGGTGAAAACAAAATTAATTGGGTTACTTTTATATCTTGTTCGAAGTTCTGAGTGCTTAGCGCTGTACAGGATGAAACAAGGCAGTGAAAATGAATCCCTGGCTTACACAGGCTCAGTGATACACAGAAATCAGTAAAATATGCTAAAAATATTTCTCACAATTCCTTGCCAAGTGTGGATAGTGATGGAAACCTAGCCTGTGCTGCGGGGCATGTTGGCCAGCACTGAGACCATTAGTGCTTCAGAGAGGAGTGACCAGTTCCCTCAACAGCTTCCCCTGGAGCCATCAGATTACACAGCTTGAATGCTGTCTGCTCTGCTCACTGACTGCACATTTGGATGCTGCCAGAAAACAGCTTCTCCTTTAAGCATTTCCACCCTTATTTTCTGGTGCAAACTTACCTCTAAATTGGAATCAGCTGCACGATGATTTGCAGCTGCCCCTGTGCCCGTGGAGACACCCCACTTAACGATCACCTGCCTGGGGCACTCTGGGGTTTTAGTTCCTTTCCTGGTTCGTTCTTCTCCGGATAATAGAGATAAGCAGAAGATATTTAGTAGTATGCAGGTATATTTGGGGGTTTTGTTTCTGTCAGTTTGTGTTCTGTAGGTTATTGATGCTTTAATCTTGGTGGGTAGGCCAAGAAAGCATAATGCTGGTTTAATGAGAGAACTGGTGGGATCCAAGGGCTATTTCCTGTGTGACCATACAACTGCATTTCTTGGCCTGTACTTTTAATTTATAGTAGTTTCTTTTTCCAGTTTTTTTTTCTGCCTTTGCAATGCTCTAGTCCTGTAATAGTGCAGGCTTATTTGTGTTCCCAAGTGTCATGGGAGTGCTGTCACAAGCTGCAGTGTTTGAGGGCAGTTTTAGAAGGATGCTAAATCCCCTTTAATAAGAAGAAACAAATTATCACAAAAGCAGCTTTGTAAGATGTTCATTGTCTGCTGTGGGTTTGTGACTGCAACAAGGCGACTGTATGGGGCTTTGGAGATCTGAAATTTCCAGTCTGATGTTTTCTGACACACGGCTGCCTTGGGATGAGTGGCTTCTGTTGTGACAAGTCACATTGTGTTAAGTCAAGATCAGGTCAGCACACAAGGTGATGTAATGCTGCATTGGGAAAACAACTTAATAGGGCAAAGCAGGGAGGAATTCTTGATTTTGTCAAGTGCTGATTTCTGGTACTACTCTGTGATTCAGATCAATGTACATAGATGAGTAAAGGGGAAATATAAGACTACTCTGAGGGCTGGCACTTGGGATTCAGAGGGAGATGGACAAACAACCAAGAAACTACCTCTAAACTTAAAAGAATAACCTTTTAAATACCAGTCCTAAACAATTCTATATAATGATCCTTGTTCTGCTTAGGTCCACTAAGCTGCTGAACTGCTTTAAATGGGAACAGCCTGTGTAAATTCCCAGCCAAACTCAAAGCTTGACCCAGCTTGTCCCTTATAATGAGATGCTGCCAGTAACAAGCTGAGCAGGTTCTGATCTCGGACCTTAAAGTCTTAACATAACACCCTCCCCACCAAGGAGAAGAAGAAAAACTCATACAGCTGTGGGATGAATCTATATTCTTCTGCTTGGCCATAGGCTTTGCCCTCTTTATGGTGATGGTTTCATGCTGTAGCCTGGGGTCCTCTTGTTTTTAATGCGGTATAAGTTCCCTAACTGGACCAGAGACAATGCCCCAAAACACTGACATATGTAATGCTGTAACAGCAATGGGCTCCGTTTTGGGAATTATTTTTGCAAAAGATTTGTAGTGATGTCTCTGAACTGTCTGTCTGTTCCCATCCTGTGCTTTCCTGTTTCAACAAAAACTTAAACCCTGGCTGTTAAGCTTGATGCCTCTTGAGTGCACAGCAATAGGAGCACAGACATGGCTTCTACGTGCGTTTGTTTGAGCACAGTTTGTGCGCAGCCAAATTAGAGAGATTCCTAAAAGGCCCATCAGGGGGCTATGCCCAGAGGGGGAATCGTGCAGAAAAAGCTCTCTTTTATTTTGAAAGAGAAATGAGAAGCAGTGAAAAGCAGATCTTTAGCTTATTGCCCTGAATATGACTTCTGGAAATCTGATTTTACCGTATCCAAAATAAGAGAAAATGAAGTTTTGCTGGTTACTACCATAGTTATGAGCACTGTGGCCACCTCAGACACACTTCAAGAGGCTAATGAACATGCTTTGGAGAGGGGATTTAATGAGAAAAGTCTCCCTCTCTTGTGCACCTGACAAGGCACAGACACATAGCAAGGGTAAATGCCTCTGCCAGGGACTGAACTGCTGTGTATAAGAGCATAGAAATAACCCCCTGGAACCTCTTGCATAAAATGGAAAAGAGAGGGTCCCTCATTCCCCCTCCCCTCCTTGTAGGTTGGAGAAAACCCTGCCCACATATTACTAATGCCCCTGAAAATGCTTCCTCTCCTGACATTGGGTTGCACACGCTGTAGGAATCAATGCCTGTACCTGAAATTTGCTCTGATGTCCCAGGGATTAATAAGAAGCCTGCAGTTTTTATTGTGACAGCCCCGGGGCAGGATTCTGCTTTCTAGTCTTACACAGAACAGCAATGCTTTCTATCACCTTTCATGTAAATAACCTCGACTTTACCCTTGACATTTTGGGAGCTGTGGCCCAGGAAGTCGTCTTGCTTGATTTCATTGTCACTGGAAGAGCGTGTGCTCCCACTGGGGCTTTGCTGTGACTTTTCTAGGAAAACAGGCACTGCTCAGGTTAATTTGAACAGGGTTCACATTATCCCTCAGGAGATGGTGATTTGGGCCAAAATATTGGCTGTGTTCTTTGTTTTAGCAAAGTAAGTCCAGGGGAAAAAAGCAAACCAGGCACAGAGCAGCAGCACTCTCAGCTGGTTGGGCACTGTGTTCTGCTTAGTTCTGGAAGGAGGTTTTGACTAATGGCCATCTTCTAAAGAGGAGGCTTCAGCATCAAGGCTAGTCAGCAGACTTTATGCTGATGGCACATCGTGTGGGCTGCTAGGGAGAAGGAAAGATCCTACATAAACTACTGGACCTCAGTAAACCAATATACCAAATTTTTGTCTCCAGTGAAGGATGGATATGTTGTAACTGAATGTCACAGCAGGCGAAGGAAGGGGTGTAGCGACAGAGATGAAAACTGGTTGTGCCTGTGGGACCAGTGCTTACTGACCAGCTGATCTCCCAGTCACCTGCAAGTCAAGTGTTTTCTCTGTGTGCCAGCCACAAGAGGTATGGGGGAGAGGAGGGAGGAGAAGGGATAAAAGTGTCCCTGCATTATCCATTAATTACTGCATTCTCTATTAGAGGTCATGAGCTATGTGTATGTATCTATACATTCTCCCCTTTAAACCAGCTGAAGTTCACTCAGGTCTGCCAGTGTTTTCAAAAGAGTTTTCAAAGTTTCGTAAAGTTCTGTCAGTTTTGTAAAATCAATCAGCCAGGTAGAGCAGAAAGCAAGAGTTCTTATTTGTACCTTTAACTGAAGAGAAGAATGTTGTTATCCACAATCTATATGGGTGTGGATCGGTACCAATAAATCTCTGAAGGGAAAAGCTTTATTTGCATGTTAAAATACCAGAACAGGAACTATTTGTTATAAAGCTGTAGGAACACTTCTGTAGCTGAGGGGATGACTTGGAGTGATGTGCTTTTCCCTCCCACTAGAAACACTCAGGAAGGAGCAAAACATTCTGTGAATGTAGGTGTGTGTGGTTGGATGTGAAGTATGAATCCAGCATCTGGTTATCCACTTCTCCTGTTCTTGTTACTCACAACTGTCCTGCCTTCTCACTGGTTTTTAACCTCTCTAGCCACAATTATCCATGTGTGTCTACTAATGCTCTGCTTACTCACACGAACAGCTACCAGAGGTGGAAAGAGGTGCTATATTTTGTCCTACAGGACAGGTTTAATAATTGTTGCCTTTGCTTTTCCTCTCCTGTTACAGGCTGGAAGAAGTCCATCCATCACATCTCCTGTTGCCTTTGACATGCTGCCACTGAAACTGCATCCATTTTCCCAGAGCACTCCGACAGGCTTGGACTGTGTGGGCTGGAAACGGCGCATCTCTGCTCCCGGTGTGTACACCAATCTTAGCTGGGCATGAATTATGAGAGCACTGAGCTCTGGTTTATTGAGTATGGAAACTTTGTGTGCAGTCTAACCTATTTATGATGTCTGTGCAGAAACCTGCTTTAGGGTTGAACCTTTCATGTGCTTTTCATGTTCTGGATTGTTTTCTCCCTGAGTGAATAACCAGGGTGGTGTTTAAAGGCATTGGTCAGCTTTTTAGTGAAGAAGAGATCTCTCCTGGCAATGACAGTGTGCTTGATGTAGAAGCACTGTGTTGTCTGAGGAGCACTCAGTCTCACCTGGGATGATGCTGTGTTTATCACACTCCTGAATTAGGTTTCTGCAGATGAAACAGACTCTCTGCCTTGTGTTCCTGGAGAGTACTGCGGTGGGTATGGTGAGGCTCCTCTCAAGTTGCTAATTAGGCACTAAAGCAACTAAATGAGCCTCTAGAGATACAAGTTTCCTGTACTTTAAATCCCCTTAAAGAGCAAGTATGCTGTGTTTTCATGAAGTATCGTGTCTGCTTCATTTCCAGTGACTGACACTTTTTCAGAATTAAAATGTAAGTTGCATGGATTATTAAACATGGAGATGTATCTTTGCCAGGTTTTTAAATTCTCCATCTGACAGTGCCTTCCCAAACACTGCAGATATCTCTATCATTGGGGTAGAATAAGAAAAACAGAACGCAGAGGAGTTGTTCAGCAGTTCGGAATCTAGCCAGGAAAAGCCAGCCACAGTTGGGTGCCAAGCTGCCATTTCTGCCTCAGAAGGTCTCTGTACCATTGATTAAACACTGCTGGAGTTACCTAATCAAGGGACAATAACACTGCACTTGTTACATCAGAGTTGAATGGTCATAACATTTTGTCAAACATAACTGGTTTGCTTTTAGACACTTTGTACAACTCCTGCACAGAGTCATGAGGCTTCATCTGCAAATAGGAAATCAAACTATTTATTATCATGGTGTCAAGAGCCCTGCCTCTGCTCTCTCAGCACTGAGGGCTTTGATCACTTGCTGTCACAAGCATCTGGTGTTGCCCCAGTGCTTATGACCAGCTCCCTGGCTGAATTAAAAAAGCTGCAGCTTTACTCATTGGAAATCCCAGATGGAAACCCATCATTGTCAAGTTGTCTGTGCATCTCTGACATTAGCTGAAATCCCTGAGCACTGCTGTCATAGAAGTAAATTCAGAGTCACAGCTGAGACAAATTTCATGGTAGTTCCCAACTGGGACCTGAGGGAGTTAAAAAATATGTATGAATTTCTAAAGGTGGATAGGGGGAGTAAATGCATGTAGACTGACCAGCTGGCAGTGCTGTAGGTGTTTATATGCTGTCTAGAAATGGGGCATGAAACTGAGTCCTCTATGATTCACACAATATTCCTGAGATAGGTACAAGTGAACTTCATACCCTGGCCTAAGCCTGGACCTGAAGAATTTCTGAGTAAATGTAGCAAAACATATTAAATGGTGCAGAACCCTTTTTTCAACACCAAAACTGTGTTCACGGGGGAGTAAAATGGTGGAGAGAGGAAGCAGAGATTCTTCTGTCACAGCCATCTCTATTAGCTGCAGCTTGTGGGCTTCATTTGAAGCATTTTGGGGGTGATTAATGTGTGCCCCCGTCCTTCCTGTGGTAGGATGTGGCTGAGAAGAAAACTGCAAATTACTGAAGCAATACTCTGAAGTTGTTGGCTCAGTTTTAGGATTGGGTATGTCCTTGAGGCAGCAGTAGTGCAGCAGAATGCAGAATCTTTGATTCTTGCACAGCTTTGTTGTGATACCTGTTGCTTTTGACAGAGCTGTAGATGATGTAAAATAAATATAAAATTAAATAATGGCTTAATTTAATCTAATTTCAAGATTTCTAACTCCAAGGCTGCAACAGCTTATACTGATGACCCCAGTTTATGCTTTAGTCATAAAAGACACTGAATATGAAAGTACTGTGCAATATGCAGTGGTACTGTGTACTTCCTTGTTGAAAATATGGATAAATTTCTCACTCCCAAAGCCTGCACCTGGTCACCTCGTGCAGGGACTGCTGCAGAGACTGTGGGGGATGGAATATTTCATAAGCCTCTCTATTCTTCAGGTACGTGACAAATGTCAGGATCCCAGCCTGAAAGGTGCCGTGCACAGCTGGGAGATTTCTGTCCTGAGCTCCCCAGTACCTGGGGACAAGAGCTTAGCTGGGCTCAGACTTACTGTCTTAGGTGAGGCTGCCTGTTCCCAGCTAGAACATACCAGGAGTGCTGGGAGAGGAGTTTAATGTTAATGCTGTGCTCGTTACCTTCTGTTCACCAGCCGCTGCCACTGGAGCAGACATCGCTCTGTCTTTATGCCGTGCTGGAAGAAAAGAGGCAGGCTCAGAGCTGTCACCTGGCTATCCCAGCAGTGGGGAGCAGTCACTCCGAGCGCTACTCTCCCTGTCCCCTGCGGTGCCCGGGCCTGACACACCGTGTGGCACCAGCAGGTGGCTCCGGCCCCTGTGAAATGCGGCGCGGCGGGGCCGTGTCATCCCCGTGCGAGCCTGCAGCCCCCCCCGGGCAGGGAGGGAGCACAGACACCCCCTGTGCACACACATACACCCCGGAGTTCGCTAAGTTTACTGTCCCGTTCAAACATCAGGAACCTTTAAATGCTTTGGAAGGGCTTCCCTGGCTGCTACACACTCCAGTACGTAGTGTTGATGAATATAAAGCGTCTTTCCCCTTTAATTCAGAGAATCACAGAATATTCTGTGTTGGAAGGGGCCCACAAGGATTACTGAATCCAACTTTTGGCCCTGCACAGAACCCTCCAAGAGTTACACTGTGTGCTTGAGAGTGTTGTCCAAACGCTCCCTGAGCTCTCGCAGCCTTGGTGCTGTGCCCACTGCCCTGGGGAGCCTGTTCAGTGCCCAAACACCCTCTGGGGGAAGAACCTCTTCCTAATATCCAACCTAACCCTGCCCTGACACAACTTCAAGCCATTTGCTCAGGTTCTGTCACTGGTCTCCACAGAGAAGAGATCAGTGCCTGCCCCTCCTCCTACTCTCATGATGATGTTGTAGACAGCGCTGAGGTCTCCCTTCAGTTCTTCTCCTCTTCTTCTACTTGTCAAGTTATTCCTATGTCTTCATTTGTACCTTGCAGATTGTTCCTTACTGCCAGTGTAGGAAACAAGCTACTTCCTAATGTAGATATGAGAATGCTTTTCTGCTTTTTGGCAGCTTCTGAAGATCTTTAGAGACCTTCGACACAGGAATTGGACCAGAAAAGGGGTGAGAGAGAAGGGCATAATATGTACTGGAGTGAGCAGCGGTAGGATAACAAGGCTTTGGGTTGAAGCAGTGGACCAGCATGTTTGTCTTTTAGGTTATCATACCCATCCTCTCCTTTCCCATCTCTCTCCTAAGACAGATATTTGTTTATTTATAACCTGAAGACTTTGCCTAAAATTTTGGATGTTGCTGGGAAGCTGTTTGGACAGGGGGTGCAGCTGGGAGAATGTGGCTACAACAGGGCTGAAGCTCAGAGATGAGCAGTTCTGGGTACAAGAGCTGAGAGCCCATGGGTCTAGAGCAGAAGGAACATTCAGGGGAGGTGCTGCCTTCTCTGAGCTTTTCCACAGGGACTTTTCAGCTGGAGGCAAGTGACAGACACAAGTAATTGTCTGAGAGTTGCAGGTGTAGTTTCTTGATGTTCCTGCTCTTGCTGTTACCTCAGCCAGAGACTTGTATTCTTGTGCCAGCTCGTTACATTTTCTCAGATGTTTTCCCAATGCTGCCTCTCAGAGAATCTGTGAAACTTCTATTTTGTTTTTTTTCTTCGTGCGTAGGGACACACATGGGACCATAAACCTTCAGGATTTGTCATATCCTCATAGAGGGAGAAACTTGTAACCGGTGTATTACAAGATCAGGTTTGTAGCTGTGCTAGAACAGATCTTAAACCTGTATTATTTAAAATCATTATTTAAATGCAGACCAAAATTTTTGGCAACTTCCCATGAATCTTGTCAGACTTAAACAGCCTGAGATCTTTTAGTTTCCTGCTATCAGATGTCTACAAGAGATGCCCTGGCATTACACCACAGTGCTGGTGTTGGTTGTGCCAACCAAAGAGGAATGAACTCATTGTGGCTGATGTGCACTGATGAACATACTGGTGGCCTTGGAAATCTTGCAAGAGGAATAGGCCAGCCAAGTTCTCAAAGCCTGAATCTTTTGTGGATAGTCTGGAAAACAGTGACCATTTAGTGATACTGAGTTATCCTCTGGCCTCCCTGGTGTAGCGGAAAGTATTTCTCAGAGGCAAAAGGGACTGTTTGTTTACTCAGCATCATGTGGCCAACTTTCATCTTCTTTTCCCAGCTATAGATGGGCTGTTAAACTCACATTTGGCAACAGTTAATGTGAAGATGTTTGACAGCCACTGGAGAAATCTGTTCTAGAGGGAAAATATTAGCTCAAAACCAGGACTTCATTATGTCTTATAAATATTTAGCAGTCCTGTAGTTCAGCAAAATAACAAGCTGAGCTATTTACTCTGTTTTTGTCATTTTAATTCTTGAAGGGACACAGAAAAAACTGGCATGCAGTTTCCCAGATGTGTATCATTGTAGCTGTAGCATGAAATGTCCATTCCATCCTCATTAATCCATAGAAGTGTAATTGAATTGAAGTGGTTAAACAAAAAATCATGTCGCCTACTGCATGTTTTTCTCTTAATCACAGGAAGGTTAGACCCACTGGGTCAATCTTGATTCTGTTTAAGCACAGCCACAAACATTTGCACTCCGAGAGGTCTCTGGTAATGTGTCCTCACTCAAAAGTTTTCATCCAGCCTGAGAAGCTGGGCCCAGTGGTGGCTGAGTTCCTGAAAAGTTGTCTGAGCAGGTTGAGTGGGATTGGTCATATTAGTTACTGAGGTGAAAGGTTTAGTACACCAATAAAAACTTTTCATGTGGCAAAGAGGGAAGAAGATCCTAGCAAATCCTGAATGATTCTG